TGAACTGATTGAAAATGGAGGTGGACCCACCAAATTATTGTTATAATTTCATTTTATTGTATTTTGCGTTGAATTTATGTGTTTATTACAATAATATTATCTATTCCGTTGGTTATATAGTTACTAAACAAGAATAGATCAGTTTTCTCCTGTTTTTCTCTCATTGAATAAAAATTATCCCTTTTTAGAAAAGTATCGTTTCCTGGTACAATCTCAAACGTTGCATACTTACATTCATTATTGTGTTAACTAACTTTTTGGATGGTTTTATAGTTCCGAGACACAGTCGAAAACATCCATTGAGAACGAAAAACTGCTGGTCAAGAAAGAAATCGCGGTGCAACTTTAATTGTCCACGCATCACGGTTAGTGACTTGCATTTGAAATCCACAACACCCCGGACAAGCCAGTTTCGCGATAAACTTTACCGCGGGTCTCTAAACTCCATCTAGGAATTGCACGGTCCGATTCGTTCTGGAGAGACATGTAATATAAAGGTGCGCTGATGGTTTCCTCGCTCTCGAGACGATGCGATCGGTTGTTCCAGGTGGCAGCGAACAAGCCGGGAGGTTGGCGGCAGGTTTGATAATGGCAGTGCGAACGAAAGGAGGGATCGAACGTCGCGTTACTCCGCTCCAGATGAGACGTTCTAGAGAGTAGGTGGGTCGTATGCGAGGGTTCAACCCAGGGCGGTAGCGTGCCTCAGGCGATTGATGACTTGTGACCCACTTTTAAAGGCTTGTGGCCTAGATGCGAGGGTGCCGTGGCCTGATCTAAGATATCAGGCTTCCTTCTCCCCCTCGGCCGCCTCACCTCGCCCACAACCTCGGCTCCCGTCGTTCCTTTTTTCCTCGTTCTTTTACTCTTTCTCGTCTCGTCCCCGTGCCATCTACTTCACAGATGACGGTTCTCCGGACGTGGGTAGTCGGGACTGTCGGGACATAACTTCTGTCCTCGCAGGATTCTCGTACCCTCTCTTCTTCTCGAATTTCGCTGCCCTGTTACTCGTCTCTACTTTAAGGTCGAAGGCATTGCAACTTGAGGAAGCCCGTCACCCGAAACTTGTTCCCTTCTCTTCTATGATTAATTATATCCGAATTAATTGTTTCTCCGTCGATGATTCTCCGGTCGTTGATCCGTTCGTCTTTTCAAATTGTTATTGCAGGATGATCTGTTACAATGACGGAACATTTCCCGTATTATACGAAATGAACGTTTATCACATGAAAATTTATCCAGTGGTTCTATCATACACGTACAGGCGTCTTTCAAATGTCATTTTGTTCTTGTGTCAATGTCATGTTGTTCAATGTTTTATTTTTTATTATCAGTTGTCTTAAGGGGCATCCTTTGTAACAACAGCAGAAGAAACTAACCATTTTATTGATGCAGGTTTTTGTAACTTATTTCACAACGGAATGAAAGAAGATAAAAAACACCGAGAACTTTGTCTTATACATTGTACAATCGCGTGTATAATTATAGACACAAAGTAACTTTTATATTGTTACTAATATTGTTACTAATATTTCTAATATAGAAATATACGAATACGATCGATTAAATTATGTTACAATATCATTCATGAACATACATATACTAACTAAATAATAAATAGTTCTAAAATAAATCGCTTTATTCAAATAAAATATGTATAACATGTGTGTGCTGTTATTAGCATTGTTAATAACATTGTCATAACCTTCTGTTAATTCAGTAAAAAATGTGGAAGTTACCGTAGCCACAACAATTTTTTTATTCAATTTCACTGACGCATAAAATTCGTATTATAGCATTATAATTACTAGATCTATTTTACAAATGAGTATATTAAACAGATAACAGTGAAACATTTGGAAATTTATAAATACTGTAGTTTCGATTTCAGCTCGCATGAATTGTTAAGAAAAGAAAATAAATGTCTACGTAGCTCCTGTATCATACAATTAATGTCGGCAATTTTGATTTTGCACAAAAATTTGAGCTGTAATCATTACAAATGCGCCAATGCGCAGAGTACTAATTTTCGGTATTGACTTGCTGTTTTCTAGCCATTCAAAAGAATAATAGAAATTGATACCCTTGCTCCACGTTTTCGCTATCAATCTTTGTGAATTAGATTACGTAACAATTACATAACCAGGACAATTACAGTGTCCTTAATAACTACCTTAACCGATCATGTAACATGATGTTATGATCGGCACGTTAAAATTCATCTTCGAAACAATGATAAAATATCAACTCTGCTGGCACAGTAATTACTTACAGCTGATAAATTTGCGAACAAGCAGTAAACATGAAAGGTAACTACATATATTACTATCTGTCTATGCCCTCATGCAATATGAATATTAAATAGAGACACGTTTGTACTTAAATACATTGTAACAAGTAATAATTATTATTAAAAGTTTTCATTGCGAATAGCCGCAAGCTTTACTTATTTTCCTTTGATTGCAAATGATATATTATTATCGTTTAGATAAAATGTAATATAATAAAAGGATTTCGGTCTTTCTTTATGTGTTACTTAAATGTTATTTAACTAATTACTATAAATGTTATTTCATAAACATTTATAATTTATATGCAATAAGATCTTTCTATGTGGACTGTACGAAACAGGAGTTAGGTCAAACTGTATTTCTTCATTTAATATTATTTATATTATTTTAATTACCAGATTTAAATAAAAAATTTTAATTGCAATGGAGACTTTGAAGGAACGAAAATGTTTTTTAAAATTTATGTTCTAATTAGACCGCGAATTTTTTGAATACATGGAAAAAATGAATGGATGAAATAGAAAATGGTGGAAGCATTAAAAGAATGTATGAATATTATTGCAGTATTTCAGAGTTATGAAATGTCAGATAACCAAACGCTGTGCTTCTGGTTTGTTTTCGGACACAATTAACTTTATTTTTATTGAATAATACATATTAAATTTGTCTTTTCTTTTATATTGTTTATTTTTAAATAAAAAAATGTAATATGTCTTATTCGCTAAGAGTATGAAGTTAATTATGTCAGAACACAAACTAAAGACACGACAATTGGTCAGCCCACAGTAATAAACTCCACTAACCTAATCGATTTTAGAAATTTTTATTTTCCATAATGACGTGT